GGGTTGGGAATTGGGGCTGGGTTGGGAATTGGGGCTGGGGCTGGGTTTGGGGCTGGGGCTGGAGCTGGAGCTCGAGCTCCTGGGACTGTAACTGAGGGTACCACATAGTAGAACCAGATGGAAGCTGGCTTAAAAGCAAGGACACAAGATCACGAGTATTATATAAAACACCACTGTCAGCAGGTTGCTGTGTCCCACCCAACCATGCACTGGAATCCACATCTAGGTTCACAAAGTCTCGGAGCAACATTTTCCCATTAGGAAAGGAACCAGTGGAACTGTCCTGTGTGGGCTCTGAACCACTCACCAAACCTGGGGCTCCCTGCACAGGGCCCACCTCACTGACGACATCCAGGCTAGTGGAGCTGGCTGGGTTCTGGGTCACAAGGGTTCCTTCAGAGCTGCTAGCAAGAAGCTGAGCAGAAGGAGGAGGTGACCTAACTCCTCTGACATCCAGGGGACTCTCCTGAGAAATGCTGTCTGCCTTGGGACTAGGAAGAAGAGTTGGGAACATCTGAGAGCTGCTGAACTGTAGCACGGAGGAATCTTGAACTGATGAACACAGTCCAGAGCTGGAGGCAAGTGAGACCTGTAGAACTTCTGGGCTCACTTCCTTTCCAGATACTGAGGACTTCTTTGACACTGAGGTTGCAGGCTGCTGTGGCTTTGCCCCTGGAGAGGGTTGACTGACACTGGATGAGGCACTGGAGGCCATCTTGCCTGCACCTTGAGCTGTGCTCTGAACAGACTCCTGACATGGGCTGACTGCCCTCCCAGCATCAGTCTTTAACGCAGCCATGAGACCACCAGAATGGTCACATGTGTAGACCTGTGCAGGAGGCTTAAAACTCATGAGTGTGGAAAATTTTGGTGGATCTACCATATCACACCAAAGTGGATCATCATTTGTCAACACAATGCTTGGGTCTGTTTCCCATGGCTGAACCTCAGGTTCATATTCAAACAAACTATCATATTCCATCACAAGAGGTGGCCAGCAATGCCGTGGCACATCACCAGGTAAGGGACCCTCTTTTCCCTTGGCATACTTTTCCACATCAATTTCAGAAGGCACAGTCAGGTCACAGCGTCTCTGTTTCCATGTGTCTACATAATTCTGTGATGTGATCCTAAGGTTATATTCTTGACCCATATTCCTTTCCATTTTTTTGCAAATAGTCAGTACTCGGAAGTCAGGTGGAGGAGAACATTGAGACAATTCATGCAACAGGCTCAGGTTTGGCTGCAAATGCCTCTTGAAACACTGTTGCATTGGTGCAGTGTTCATCTTGTGCATGGTAAATAGCAGTCTGTTGTCAGTGCAGGCTACTGCCACAGAGGGATCCAGAAACACTGGTTCTGACATAGGCAAAGTCAGTTGCCTCTCACAAGTGGGCTTCTCTTGCTGGGTGGATGAAGGGCTGTCTCTTACAATGGCCTCTACACCACACACCAAAGTCTGCAGTGTTGGACGTAAGAGAACATGCTTACTTCTGGGAGCAGCAGAGCCCACACCCACACACTGCCTGTAGTCTCGAATTTCTGCTATGACACACCCACTATGGAAAATGTTAATCTGAGATGTGTCCAGGACGTCAAGCAGAACAGGTGGTAACTGTTGCGCATCCAAATACTCCAGCAGCTGATCCTCTTGATAGGGCAGGGAAATGGGCTCTGCTAAGGACCCACTCTTGTCATCCAGCATGATAGAATAGCCCTGTTCTCTTGGGTACAGATTGAACACCAAGCATGGCAACGACTCTCTACTCACCAGCTTCTCTAGCAGGTTGACATTGGTTGTGAGTTCGTCGGTGGCCTCGGGCTCTTTGCCGCATTCTTCAACATAAATGTCATAAAGCTTGTCATGGAGAGATTTTTCCTCAGACAGTGGGACTCTCCTGGCAGGGGGTCTCTGCTGGGCTCTCGCCATGACCTCCTCTGCTCTGTCTAGGGCTTGCGCTAAGGCTCGCTGGCGCGACATCGTAAGGCACGCGGGCCCTGGAACAAGACAACAATGGCGGCGGAACGTCACGTGAGGTGGAAGTCCCCTCTGTACGCTGAGGCCCCTCAAACCTCTACCGCTCTGACTGGGAATGAACAGCCTCCCTCTCACACCACTGTGGTCACCGCGACACCCACCATCAGCCCCAAGAAAGCGCTCTATAGAATTCTTTTGAATATTTGAAAATTCCTGTACCTGTTAGCGGAAAGGCCCTCACATAACGTTGGTCCGCACTGTCAGAGTGGACCTTTCGGCTGTCGGTTGACGCGCATGCGCACTGCATGGGCAGCACGTGACCACCCCCCACCCCCACACACAGCATGTGCCTGGCTTCGGGCTTCCTCGCTGTCGTGCGCACCAGCCACTGAGCCTTTACTTCCGGCCCAGTGCAGCCAGCACTTTTTTTTTTTAAACGTTCATTTTATTTTAAAGAGTAAAAACAAAAGCAAGAACAAAGATCAACACAAGGTCACAGAGACAGCTCAGTAGAATAAGCGCTTGCATGGCAAGCGCAATGGCTTGAGTTCATTCGCCAGTTCTGCCATAAAAAAGTTACAGCATGTCTCAAGGTAACACAAATATGATACCATACAACAATACATCTGTTACAAATTTTCAAAACAAAAATACCTAACAATGCTTGATAAATTATCTCCTTTTATGGTCAAACCTGTTACTCAGATTAACGGATATAGTTATGTAAGATTGGAGCACTTATGCTGACCGTGTGCGTCTCTTTTACATTGAACTCGCAAACTTGCTTTCATATGCTGTCAACATTACATAATGTTTTTAAATTTTTTAATTTTTTTTTGGCCAGCTCAGCTAACCCCGGAGGCGGGGGCTGGCATGGCATATGGTGCCCCAATCCAACCTCGGCCCCCTGCGCCTGCCTAAGCTGACCTAAGTAGGCGCTGTAGACTGCTGAGCTACATCACCACCCCTAGATTGCCTAATTTTGAGAGGAATGCCATTGCCAGCAGCATCATGCACGCTTGCCACTTCTCTGCATGGGAAAGTCAAGAATTGTCCCTTTGGAATCTCTTGTCCTCACCTTAGGGCTGCCTGTGGTAGCATCGCCCATCCAGCACACCTGAAGGAGACAGAGGCAGCAGCTCCTCATCAGAAGACGCCACATACTTGGTGCAAGCATCAGGATTCTCCAGAGAGCATCTGCCGGAGGGTTTTCCTGTCCACGCACACTGGACGTCACCCCCCGTAAAATAAACAGCAGTGCGTCTTCGTTGTATCAGAACACAGGCTTCCATGTCGCACATTGGTGCTTGCGTGTAGCATGCTTCGATCAGCCCTCCCCTGCCCCAACCTCCTCAGAGCGGCTCTCCAACAGGCTCCCACTGCTCTCAGGAACATCACTTCTTGCTTATCGCCCCTTCCTTTGTGCTTCCGTGTGCATTAAGTGTAGGGCATTTTCTATTGCAAAGCACTCTGTTAGATCACTCTGTTTTCTCTGAATCACAGATCAGGGTGTAAAGAGACACTCGTCTACTTGTTGTGAGATGCTGCAGTGTTGGACTGAGAGAAAGGAGGATGTTTATTCCAGGTGATGGCAGGAAGTTCTCACGATTGGCCTGTGCACTGTACCAGTGGGCCTGGGATGGGTTTGGGGTGCTATCACTGCGGCTTCGACAATTTATGGAAGATGAATTTCCACTCCCTTTGGCACCTTCAAATCTGCTGGGCCCCTTGGACAGGTGTTTGAAAGAATCAGAACTGTTGCACTATGCCCACAACGCCAGCACTCTGGGAGGCTGAGGCAGGAGGGCGGCAGCTTGGATCCCAGCTGGAACTCTGAAGAAAGCTTGTGTGAAGATTAAAAGTAAAAATGGTGAGTAGGTAGTTTTCTTTAAAGATCCTGGCTGTGGAGGCAGCATGGCGGTCTAAGGGCCTGCCTGGCAAGGGCAAGGACCCAAGTTCAGCCCCCGGCCCAGCATGCTGTGCCTTTCCCCGAACCTCAGGCGGGCAGTGCGGTCCCGAAACCGGGTGTTGTGATGCATGCCTGTAATCCTAGCTCTGGGGAGGCTGATACAGGAGGATCTCTAGAGTCTGAACTGCATAGTGAGACCCTGTATCCAATAAATAGAATAGAATAAAATAAGATAAAAGTGACTGTGTGCAATCCCATCAGCGTAGCTAGTAAAAACAACCCCCACCCAAAAACCCCCTGTAATATTTCTGTCTAGCAGAGTGATGATGGCACAGTATTCCTAGTTAAGTGTCAGCAATGAGACGATCCAAGATTAACTGGTGAAATTCCACAATTACAAACCATTTTAAACAAATGTTTCTTAACCAAAGGTGACTGTGATTGTTACATGTGGCAGTAGCTAGCGCACATCAGGTTGGACCGAAAGCTCTTTGGCTAGGAGGATCTTCATCAAGACCCTCCTTGAGGACCAAGCACAATGGCTTTCTCCCGTCAGGCCGGTCCTTGTTGGGCGGTGGACACTTCTGGAGCACCTCGAGGGGCGTGGGAATACCCTGCTTTCTTTTCCTTCAAGCATCCCTCCCTCCCTCTCTCTGCTAGTTTCCTCAGGCCTCAGTATGGGCTAAGTGCATGAACGGGAAAAATAGGTCGCATTTTGCCCTCCACTCCCTTTGTTGCCTTGAAGTCTGCCAGTTTGGAAGGCCACTTAGAGCCCTCAGAGTGTGACCTGTGAGCACAACCCAAATGCTGGCCCTTGGCTGCCATCCCAGGGTAGGTGGCCCTTCGCAGGAGGTCCCTGCTGCCCTGTGTCAGGTGGCCTAGATCTTCCCTCTGGCACTGACTGTGTCTCAGTCTGTATCTCCCAAGGAACACCCCAGTGAGAGGAGGGGATCTGAGAGCGAGTGGTTTGTCTGGGAGCTCCACCCAAGAAGGCCTGGTGAGGCTGCACCAGGGAAGTGAAGGAGACAAAGGGGGCCTGTTCATGAGCAGAGGACAGCTGTGGAGCCCTGATCTGTGCTGGGACTGTGGGCAGCAGTAGAGGGAATGACTCACTTGGTCCTATTCTGGAGGCAGGGAAGCTGGGCCATTCTCTCTCTCTCTCTCTCTCTCTCTCTCTCTCTCTCTCTCTCTCTGCCATTCCAGGTGAATGATTTGCTCACACTTGTGCAGGGGCTCGAGGGTGCCACCAGACAGAGTTGCAAGTGCTCGCAGTAAGGCTCAGTCAGTGTGTGCAGAATGACAAGCCCCTAGAGAGAGGGACAGGGTCCTGACAGCACTTGCTCCAGCTAAGACTGATGACAAGTGGAAGGGGTCCGCCATTCATTCTTGAAGATGCAGCTAATATGCTGTGTGGTGCACCTGTGCTTAGGGAAGAGCAAGATGTGATCCTTCCAGGTGAGATGGGTGAGCTCATAGAAGCTACTGCGCAGCCGTTAGATCTATGGGGCTCCAGATGGAAGGCCTGGCCCCTCCTACTCCTCAGCGGCCACACCCATGGCAGCCTCAGCAGGTGCTACACAGGAGGGATGGATCCTGTGCAGGCACATTGATGCATGTTGCAGCATGTTTTAGTTGCCTGGCAGAACCTACCTTGGGTCAGCCATCTCCTTCATTTAAGCTGTTAATTACCTGGTCATCCCACAAAATGATTTTTTAAAAATATGAATCTATGTGCACTCCATCCTTTGATATTTCCAAGCATGCTGGTCAACACAATGGCTGATTCTGAGAACTCCAACTGCAACCCTCCTTGTTAGCAGCTTAGCAGAAATGTGCATGCTATGAAACCTCAGCCCAGCTAAGGTTTTTCTAGAGGAATAAAACAATTTGTTTAATTGGAAAATAATTGACATTATTTTCTCATAGTGTACTGGTTTTTTTTCTATAGCCAATTAGGGTATAAGATAATCTTAAAATTGTATGCATTTATTATATACAGTTTGAGATGGTTTTTACAGTAAGTTTTCTTTAGTGATATTTTATTTTTGTTCCTATCAATAATTAATAGCTATGATATTTAACATCTGTTTTGCTCACTTTTTATTTGTCCATGTTTGCATTACAAAATGATTGCATTTGATGTGGGGACTTAGTGCAAACAAAGTGGATGTGAAATGCTCTTACCACAAAATAATTACTATGTGAGGTATCTAACTTTTAAAAATTACCTATAACCTTATTTTCATCTTTCTCAGTGTACAGTCCTGGGAGGGTTTAGAAATATGTACATTTGGGCAATCAGCACTATAATGAAATTATAGAATTATTTCCTCATGCAAAAAAAAATCTGTCATGCAATGCCTCTCTCCACCAAGATCCCTGTTAACTGCTGATCTGTTTTCTGTATCTAAAGATTTGTTTCCAAAAGGCAGGTGAATAAGTCATATAAATGGAGTCATAACCAATATAGCTTTTGCAACTGGCTTCCTTTAGAAACCTACATTTAAGATTTATCCATGTTCTTGTGTGTATTAGCAATCTCTTCCTTTTCATTGCTGAATAGTATTGCATTGTATAAATGAACCAGTCTATTTATCCATTGATCAGCTGAAGGACATTTAGATTCTTCCAAGTTTTAGGCAAATATCAGCAAAATTACTGAAATCATTCACAAATAATATTTTATTTTTATTTTTTTCCTTAATTTTATTGAGAAACAAATTGGTAGGACAGTTTCAATAATTAACACATTGCATACATTCTTCCTAGTGATTAATTGCTGTACAAGATGTGGACTTGATATCCTATTTACAAACAGAATTAGAACAAATCACTCTATTCATTAAGAGAATGTAACTATATATCTATCCTAACCACTTTGAATACACAGATACAAAATGGACATTCATCTGTATCCCCTTTTTTTGTTAAGTTCCATCATTTGAATATTATAGGTGTGTAAACTCAGCAAAATATTCTAAAAGAGTTCAGAGGTCCATAATAGTATTGGGTCTTCCACTTCACTGGCAATATCAGAAATTGTTGACCTGAGTCCCCTACAGCTCAACATAACACCATGGCTTTACTTCTTTTT